CTCATTTGGCCACACATAGCCATTATTCTAGGCGGCAGCTAGTGAAGTGTCCCAATCCATCTGCTTGCTTTTCATGGGCTGGTGCTTTCCTCGATGTTGACAGCTGTCTTAATATTCCTGGGCCACCTGCCACATAGTGAATACTGTGCTCTAAGATATATACAGACGTTTATCCCTCTGGTGGACTTCTCAGAACAAAAAGCTTAGCATTTCTAAACGATACTTGCATCATTGTCCAAATGTTTCGGATATCAGCGCTTTCAGTGTATTCTCATACTTTTGAGGAGTGTAGTGATTATGCTTTGCGGTGTGATGAACTTCTGGTTTTCTCCCGTATCATATAAGCTACTGAATTTGTGGAAGTCGCGGTGGTCACAGAAGATGTAGAGGAAGCAAGCATACTGACAGTTATCTCTTCTAGTAAGCTTTCCTGGAACTTTCTAGCTAAATTGGGGGTCCAGCTTACAGATTTCCTTAAAAAGATTTCCCATCATACCTCCTTTGCTCATGTTTCCTCCATTAGATCCTTTGAGAGAAAGCATTTGAGCTTACTCATCACTGTGTCTCTAAGGATGAGTATCTGATACATGGTTGGAACCCAGGTTTTGTGATATCTGAAGATTTTTACAATATGGGGGTTCCTCTTTAAAGAAAAAATGGTTTAAAATTAAAAATGAAAATCAGATATAAAAGTGGATCAAAAAAATAAATCATGCAAATTACCAATTTAAAATGGTTGACTAATATTACAAATATCAAGAAGTCTAGAAAAATAATATTTTTTTCATGAACTGCCTGGCATACCTTTATAAAACTTGTTTTCTTATATTTTGGTAGTATACTCTTTGATAGACTTTCATATGACCATGATTTTCTAATATCATTTCTATATATTTAACGGAAAGAATACAATCTTTCCTCAAGTTTGGTTGAGTGTATTTGTTACTGATAGAAGGGCTACATAACTGTGGCCCTATGCACTCATACACATTCACTGTTTGTGGTACTGCTATAGGTTTGTGCATACATACAAGAGTCCTTATAAATTCTATTTTACATGATTTTTATAAAAAGTTTGGTACACTTACGGTTATAAAAATTGTATATACTGCATTATTGGACATATTATTGTTATGAAAGAAATTACCTCAATTAAAAATGGTTCTTCCTTTTTCAGTTTTGTCTTTTGATGCCTGAAATGATTTTCCACAAGTCACTTCTGCTATTGTACCTTTCAAATCTTGTTATCACCTCTATTCCCCACACATTTTCAGTGTTAGCAGCCTTAGGATATGTTTATATCTTGAATACGGCCTCTAGTCCCACATCTTGGGTGGAATGCTTGGGGAGTTGCACAATGGACAAATTGGAATTTATCCAACAACTTTGGAGAAGTTGACAATCACATAAATATATCCCACCAAATCTAAACTAAATGTATTTACAACTCAAATTCCCCATCAGATCCTAAAATACCCCCAATAACTCCAATACCAGATGACTATAGGAATAGTGTGATGGAGGGAAAATCCAGGAAGAAAGAGATTGTGGTCTTAGTCAACTGCAGTTAAAACATTTACTTTTGTAACTTTCACGAAAACACATGTACATGTGATCATATTCCTGAGTTCACATTGGAAGAGACTTTAACAGTGAGGGGCCTTGAAGCTTTAGCTGCATCAGCTTCATAGTAAATATGCTTCTACTGTTGGTACTAAATGTCTTCTGAACAACTGAGTGAATGAAGACCAACCACAGTACTAAATTAGCATCTCTAACATCCTAACAACTCTAAAATTTAACATTTTTACAGAGTTCCTAATATAATCAGAACTTAGTATTTGGAACTATGTTATTATGAGTTCATAATATAAAAATGCAGGACATCTAGGAACTGATAAATATTAGAAAAGTAAATAACCAAAATGTTCGGGGTCATTGTTTTATAGTTTTAAGCTAATTTTTCATAGATCAAGTTTGCCTTGAATGGAGGCAGGGCACCATGTGTAATTACGTCATTCAAGGGCTTTGTTCCACCACAGAGCGGAGATTACAGCATAATTATATATTCATTGTTTCCTTCATGAGGTAGTTGCTTTTGAGGAAATAAATA